GAATCTGCAGCTCAGCCTGGCTCCACGCCCCCCCCCCCCGGCCTCAGGCTGTGGGAGCTGGGACAGGGCCCCCCTCATGGTGCCTGCCGAGAGGCTAGCCTGTCACCCAGGTGAGGAGCAATGTGCCTGGCAAGGAATGCCCGCCCCAGCCGTGCTTACCGGCAGTAATCTGGGAGCTCAGCAAAGGAGAACGGGGGGCTTGCCCGGGAGCTGCTGTCTGGGGAGGAAGCAAAAGAATTTGGGCAGAAACTCTTCAAAGTAATTTCCCCTCCAGCCTCCGTCCCTCAATTCCTTGGGGTTACGGAGCCACCACCAACCCCAGCAGGAGCTGCCTGCAAAGTCGTGAGCTCCAGCCACCTGCGCTGCCTCGGGCGGGGCCCCTCAGCCCTGCTGGTGTGCAGAAGGGACGGGACAGCGCCCGGATGCCACGCAGAGCGGGAGGTGCAGGGGCTCTGCCCAGCACTGCCGTGACCTGCCCCAGGGAAGCAAAACTCCGCCCCCCCCCCCCCCCCACGCGCGTGGCCCTGGAAGCTGTGAGCAGACACACTGCTCCTGGGCTGAGTCCCAGCCCCCCAAGCATTAACCAGCGGGTTTGCAGGGCTCTGTGCAGGGACCAGCCTCAACCCCCTCCCTGCATCACTGGGGGGGGGGCAACGGCTCAGGGTCACACAGAGCCGGGAACAGAACCCAGGGCCCCACCCCAGCTGGTGCCTGAGCCACAGGAGCCTCCTTCCTGGGGTGCCCCCTGCTGGCCATGGGGAGAGACTCCTCCCTCTGACTTTAGCTGGTACTTTGGGGCCACAACTTCCCCCTCCCTGAAGCTCTGATGTGAGCCTCGCTTTGGGCTCACCCCAAGTCCTTTTTCAGCCCCCCCTGGACTGCTCTCCCCTAGTCTCGCTGCCTGGGGGCCGTGCAGCCCGATGTGGCAGACAGCTCTGGCTAGGGGTGCTTATGGCTGACAAGGTGGGTCAGAGCCTGGCTGGCAGCAGGACGTCCCTGTGGTGGGCTGGGAGCAGCACAGCCCCTCACCTTGCAGGGCAGAAAGGTGCTGCTCCAGGCGCAGAGCTCCCTCTTCCCAGTCATCACCTCCCTCCCCATCACTCGGCTCCTCCTCTGAGCTCTGCAGCTCCGCGCTGGGCCTGGGAAGCTGGCATGGCTGCCGCTGGCTCTGGGCTCTCCGATGCTCCAGGCCAGGCTCCTGCAGGCTGCGGTGGGACCCCAGAGAGCTGGAGGGGTGCTCTTGGGCACAGGGTTTCTTCAGACCTTGTGGGTCCGAGGCATCCAGCAGTGCCAGCCGCTTCTGAAATGAAAACCCACCAGGCTGTGGGGGCTGTCCTGGATTCATCCCCCAGGCTGGAGCCCTCACTGCAGGAAACAGGTGAGCAAGGAGGGATCCACCCCTTTCATCATGGCCCACGGGGCTACCCCCTCCCCACATGCAGGGCTCTCACCCCCCTACTCTGGAGGGCAGAGGTGACGCTCTAGGCTGCAGCCCACTGCTCTAGGCCAGCCAGGCACAGGTGCTGGAACTAGGATGCCGGGGGGCGTCTGCTGCACCCCTGGCTTGCAATAGTTTCATCCCACGGGGTTACAGTTTGGTTCAATGGCTCTCAGCTCACCACTGTACAAACTGTTCCAGCCCCCTGCAGCCAGTCTACCCGCCAGGACTCCAGCCACCCAGCCGGAGACTAGAGCCTACTCCCCCAACCCACCCAAGGCCAGAGACTTGGTGCTATGGCTAGTGACAGTGGGACAGCAAGGGACAAGGCCCAGCCAGAGCCAAGCACGCAGCTGGGACCAGCCCCCTCCCAGCCCAGGGAAGACTCCGCCCAAGGCAGACCCTCAAGGAGCTGCCCAGCCAGTGGCCTGGGCACAGTCATTCCCATGACCCTACAGCAGCTGGAACCTCGGGGACTTGTGCTGCGCTGTTAAGCAGTACGGCGGTGGGTGGAACCTGCCATGGGGTGGCCGGGCGGCCGCAGTGGCCCTGAATGAGGGGCAGGAATCCAGCCTGTCCAGGGTTAGTGGAGGAGGACGCTGGGGCGCTGGATCTTGGGGGGAAGAACTGATCTTGCCCCAGGGGGGACGGGGGCACCATGGCTTCAAGAAGTGGCACCAACAGATCTGTAAATCAGCTCAGTTCTGGTACTCAGGACACATGCAAATAAACTCATGCATATTCAGATATGAAAATCAGGATATTAAGCCATGCTGGGGATCTCCAGATTTCTGGACATTTAGCCTTAGCAGGTTTTCAGCCCTCGTTCTCCTGCCCTTGCCTTGTTCGGGTGCCTGCGCCGGAGCATCCATCTGCCTAAGGCTTCGTACCACCAATACTTACCACGCCCAAGGGCCTTCTGCTGGCACCTTGGCAAGACGGGCACTCCAGAGGCACTAAGAAGGGCCTGTCCACAGCTCCGTGGGCCTGTTTCCTGGAGCAGAAGAGAGAAGATATCTGGGGCAGCTACCATGGGCCAAGGCAGTGTGTCACCCAAGAACAGGAGAGGAGATGCCCTGCCAGCACCCAGGCCATGGGGCCGGGCAGGCTGGGGTCAGGGCCTTGGCGTGGGGATGGCATGGAGCACACGAGATGGGAACAAGGTGTGAACCACCATCTGGCTGTGAAGCTTCTGTGCCTGAAGCCAGCTGTACACACGAGTGCCCTGCAACCCTCCCCTGCTCTGAAACATCCAGCCCCTTCCCACAGCCAGCCGGGACTTCGGCATTAACCGGGGGCACCAGGGCAGCTCTCTGCCCCTGGGCCCAGGGCTGCACCTGCGCAGGAGCTGCCTGACTTGCTGCTGCTCCTCGGCCGTGTAGCCCAGCCAGTCCTCCTGCACCTGCCCAAAGAGCTCCTCCTTCAGACTGTAGCTGCTCTCCCGGGGGTTCAGCTGCCCCACCTGCGTGGACGAGAGCAGCAGAGTCAGCGAGAGCTCAGGGGGCAGGAGCTGCCGCGCTGCCCCCTCTGCCCACACTCACCTCCTGCAGCATGGGCAGCAGCTGGGCCCTGTCCTTCAGGCTGATCTGCACCCTGTTCAGCCGCTCCAGGAGCTCGTGTTTGCAGTGGGGCCGCAAGGCCAGAAGCTGCACTAGGCATTTCACAAGAACGCTGCGATCTGTCCCCATGGGGCTACGTTTCCTGCCCCCGGGAGCAGGGCTCCCAGTGGGGCACTTCCTCAGTGGGGTGCTCATGCCCAGCTTCTTCGGGATGGCGACACATTTGCCTGCAGAGGAATCAATGCACAAACGGCTGCTAATAAAGAACTAACCCCCCCAGATGTGCCCCGAAGGCCTCTCATCCCGGATCTCACAGCGAGCACCAGACTCCTCTCTGCCCGCCCATAGCTGGCCCCCTTGACGCAAGAGCCTTCTCCTCTGCAGCCCCTGGGTCCCTCCACTTCGTTGGGAGTTTGGGCTAAATTCTGCCAAGCTGAGGCCTGGCACACTTGCTGCAGCCAATGCGCAGCTCAGGGGGACTGGGCAGGGGTTGTGGAGGTGAGACGACACCCAGGGAGAGGCTGGGCTCACCCAGTAGCTGTTGCAGCCCCAGTTCAGCCCCCAGCTTCTTCCTGAATCCAGCCTTGCCAACCCCGCCCAGCAGGCCTGGTGCAGCCAGCAGGCCTGGTGCAGGCTGATTCCCAGGGCCCCGCACCTTGGGCTGCACGAGGTGTGGGACGGAGAGACTTGGCCATGGGAGCCCAGCTCTGCTCACTCGCCCTCCAGGCAGGAGCTGTAGTGAGCCTCACCCACCCATGCGCGGCACAGAGCCAGCTGCCAACACTCACACGGGCCACATGCTGCCCCGTGCCCAGGCGCAGAGTGGGAGGGGCTGCTCGGCTCTCTCAGTGCTTCCTCCCACTTCTCAAGGTCAGCCCCACTCGTGAACCACGCCCTGACCGGGGCAGGATCCTGCCTTACCATGGCCTGGGGCTGCTGGCTTGATCTCGATAGCAGCTCTGCTCCACGCCTCCTTCTCCGCCTGGGACACACGCGCCCGCGTCAGCTGGTACGAGTCGTCGGTGGCACAGACGGTGATTTTCTCCTGGATGCTGCCCACACAGTCCAGCTGGCTCTGGCCCAGCCTGAGAGCACAGAAACCCGTGTCACTGGCCTGGCCCTGCTCTCTGCTCGCCAAGGAGAGGGGCCTAGACACCCCCCCCAGACCGGGGGCACTTGCTACCACACAGCAGGGGCAGGGGTCAGAGCCAGTGATGTGCCCTTGTCTTGTCTCATCCCCAGCCCCTGCCCAACACGGCACTCCCCAGGGCAGCCTCCTGCTGTGGTGGAGTGGAGATTTTCTGTCACATTTTGTATGACTAGTTTGCGTGCCTCAGTTTCCCCTACATGCTGCATTGCTAGCGAGGTGGTGGGAAAAGGTTGTTTATCTGCAGGGGGGCTTTGGCACAGGTGTGAATGGCACCAGGCTAGCACCTCATCAATAGAGTCCATGAAGACAACAGCAAATCCAGTCACCAGGACTTCGATACCTAACGACTAAGGACCATGGATGCTGGAAGGATCTACTAAGGACCAGCTCTCTGCTGGAAGCCAAGCCGAGTTTGCCCAGTTGGAGAAGAAAGGGCTGGGGGATGGAGGGTTGAGGTGGAAGTGAAGTGTGGGCTGTGGGAAGCAGTCAGGGCTCGCCTGACCTGGGACAAAGACGGGTCAGAGGGATGGGACTTTAGGCTCCATGCTGACAGACGGACCGTGCTGTAACTGTCTGTTTTCTGTGCTACCGAAGGCCTCCCTGTGCTGTGTGCCAGCCGACCATAAACCAACTTTCCCTGCAGATGCTGGTGGGGCTGCATCGCTCCCTGAGATAGCACAGGTCTCCCTCAGGGGTCTGCTTCCCACCATGGCTCCGGTCAGCGAGAGCGGCTGACAGGCCAGAGATGCAGCCTAAGGAGGCGATGACGCTGCGTGGCTTGCCCTGGAGGAAGAGTGAGACCCCTCGGGGGTCCGTCTCCCTGAACAGCCCTCCCAGAGACTGTTCCAAAGCTGGGGTCACAGCACCGGTTCGGCGAGGGTGTCTCCTGCGCATTCTGGAATGGAAGCGCCTTCTCCGCAGATGCCCCGCAGGGGAGTCAGCAGGGATGTGGGGCTGCCCCTCCCACAGGCCAGTAGGTCTCAGAGCCCTGCTGCCTGCCTTCCTACCTCTTTGGCAGGCTTCGGTTGGTGAGGCTGACGGGACCTCCCCACCTTAGGGGCACTGGGCTGGCCGGTGGCTCTGAAGTGGAACCAAGGACTCCTCCCTGACCCTGAACGAACTGCAACCGCCCCCAGAGCAGGGCAGCACCGCCCCCCCCCCCCCCCCCCAACGTTAGCACAGATCGGTGGGAAGAGTTAGGGGACTGGGCTGCTTGAGACTGCAGCAGCTCTCACCAAGCAACTCACGCAGCCTGCTCCCTCCACGCTGAGGCAACTCCCAGCCACCTCCCGCCCTGCTGAACAGCCCGAGGGCGTCGGTCACCCTTCACTCGGCACTGTTCTCTGCTCAGGAGCAGCTGCTCCAATGCCCGTGTGGGGAGAGCAGCCCCCTCCCGGTCGCTGCTACCCCCCTCCGCTATCCTGAAGGAGATGTTCTTCGGAGGGTGGGGGCTGCACAGGCAGGGAGCTCCCGGCACACGGTGCGCCAGTGGATCTGGGGCTGCAGCTCCATACAGAACTGTCACTGGACACCATGGCCAGGCGGGTGCATCTGCAAAGAGCCAGCCCCCTCCCTGACACCAGAACAGACACAGCCCCTTCCCCACGGCTTGTGCCCCATCTCCAGCCGCCTCACACACGCTGCCTTGGACTCAGGTGCTGGCCATGCCCTTACTCAGCCAGGTCAGGTTCCCACAAGCCCTCGGCCCTGCCCCCAGCCACAGGCTGGGCAGAGGCCAGGAATCTGGTTACCTGCCTAGGGCTTCAGGCCAGGAAACAAGCCTCCAGTTCTGGGAAGTCTCCAGGACAGGGCCTCTGGGGCACAGACCGGCCCCACTCACTCACCTGGAGACGTACTGCCGGATGCAGTCGAAGCTGGCCTGCGGCTTGTCCTTGCTGTAGCGGGACAGGTAGAAGGTGAAGAGACGAGCTCCTTCCGCAGGGCTGCCCAGGGCACAGGGGATCTTGATGTACTGTCCAGGAGAGAGGGAGCGCATGGGACCATTCCCAGGGGAGTGGGGCACTGAGAAGAGGGGAGCTGCATTGTCCCTGCCCCTCTGCATCCTCCTCCCGCCCCACATCCCCATCCCTGCCTGGGACTTGGCAGCTGTCCTCAGGCTCAGCTGCACACGCCCCAGCTCTCCCAGGGAGGGGGATTGGGGGCTCCCCAGACCCCCTGTGTACAGACAAAGGGCCCCAGCAGCACTGCCATCTAATTGTCTGGTTCAGGATCCCCCCACGAGGCTACAGCCTGCTTTTAGCAGCAGCTCTCCAGGGGGCAGATCACCAGCAGAGATTTAACCCTTACAACGCTGGGCCGTTTCCCGACATGGGGGAGCCAATGGGAGACTTGGAGTGGCTTTACTCCCAGCAGTGGGGTACACAGCCGGGGGGCTGGGGCTGGGTCTCTTAGTGGAGGGACAGAAGGGGGATCAGCAGAAGGGAGGGCTGGCATTCTGGGCAGGGGACAGTTGGCCAAGCCAGGGGCTCTCTGCCCCAGCTCAGGTGGGGGTGGGTACATGGGGCAGGCACCCCCAGACATACCCTTGGGGCGGGCGCTCTGCCCCAGCTCAGGCAGAGGGGGGACACATGGGGGGATCCAGCGCTTTACCTATTCTCATTCCAGCTGCCTCTGCTGAGCTCACAGCCCAACCCCTGCCCCCGGCCCCCCTGCGAGGGGACTGTGAAGGTGGCTGCAGGCAAAGGCCAGAGGGACCCTTCTCTGAGCTCCAGGCAGCAGCTCCCCGCAGGAATCCCCTGCAGAGCTCGTTAGCGAGCCTGGCGCAGCTGAGATGCTGCAGCAGCCTGGAGCCAAAGGGGAGGGAGGCAAATCTCTGACCCCAGAGCCCCCAGAAACCAGCAGAGAAGAGACACAGCCAGGCCCAGCACAGGGCAGGCAGCCTACAGGGCCCTGAGCTGCCAAGGCCACAGGTTGCAGGAGCACAATCACTCCGCTCCATCCCCCTTGGGGCTGCCGAGAGCCGGTCAGGCCCGAACAGGCCGTGACACCCCCCAGGCCAGGTCGTGGGCCCCTCCCCTGGCTACAGATCAAAAGGGCCCCTCTCCCCCGCAGCCTAGCTGCTCCCCAGCCTCCGCGGGGCCCTGTCTGTCGAGCAGCCCCAGCCCCACGGTCCTGGGAGGAGGCTCACAGGTGATGGAGGTGGGGAAATCCCCTGGGTCCCATCTACAGCTTCTGCTGCCGGGGCTGGGGAACAATCCCGCCCGCAGTGGCACGGCCGTGTCCTGTCCCAAGCAATGGAGCTCCCACCTGCCCAGGTCCCGCCGGCTCACACCGCACCTCCCCCCGAGCAGGGCTATGCTGTGCTCCCCCTGCCCCGTCAGCATGGCTCAGCTCCCAGCCCCCTCGCCTCCGGCTCAGCTGTAGGCAAGGAAGGAGAGTGAGGAGGAACAAGTGCTGCCCTCGCCCAAGCCCAGTCCAAGGGGTCGCGAGGGAGGGGCTGCTCCAAGGTCGCTGCCAATGGCGCTGGGCTGCGGGTGTGGGGACAGGCCCAGAACATGGCTGGGGTTGGCAGACCCAGGCTGGAAATGGGAGTGGAGACAGGGCTGTTGAAAGCCAGCGGGGCTGGGCTGGCGTCCGTCTCACACGCACTCAGTGTGTTCGAGGAGCCCAGTGGCCCCATCCTCACCCCCCAAACAGGGAGTCTCGCGCTCCCCAGGGAGCCCCGCCCCACTCACCCCCTGGCTCCCTTGGAAGGCGATGACAGGCTGGGCTGAGCCCTGCAAACAGAACAAGAGGGACAGTTAGCGGCTGCACCCGTCCAGACCCCTGTGACTCAGGCGCCCCCACACAGCCGGGTGGCGCTACCCGGAGCCCAGCACCTTGCTCCTGGGGACCGGGGAGCCCCCCACCCCACCCCACCCCACATGGGGCTGCCCTGGCTGAACTGCAGCAGAGCTTCTGGGCCAGGACCGGTCTAGGAGGGGGTGGCTGGGAAGAGGGCACTGACCCAGTCCCGGGGGGAGTTGGGGGGCAGAGCCCGGGGGAGGGGGGCGCAGGGGGCACTGACCCAGGCCCGGCCTGGGGTGAGGAGGAATACTGACCCGGTCCTGGGCCAGGGGGAGCTGGATGAGTGCCTGGTGGGGGATACGGGGGGCGCTGACCCGGGCGGGAAGTGGGGGTGGCCCGGGGGGAAGGTGGGGGGACACAGGGGGCGTTGACCCGGGCCCGGGGGGATGGTGGGGGGACACGGGGGGCGCTGACCCGGGCCCGGGGGGGAAATGAGGGGACACGGGGGGCGCTGACCCGGGCCCGGGGGGGGGAAATGGGGGGACACGGGGGGCGCTGACCCCGTCCCAGGGGGAGAAATGGGGGGCGCTGACCCGGTCCCGCCCGGACGCACCTGCAGCCGCTGACAGTCCCGCAGCGCCCGCAGCGCCGGGTCGGTGAGTTTCAGGTGCAGGAGGCTGAGGCGGGGCCCGCGGGAGCCGCCCCGGTACCGGAGCCGCCCAGACAGCTCCGCCCGCGGCCACGGCATGGCTGGGAGTGGGGCCGGGCCGAGCCGGGTCGGGCTGCAGGAGCCCCCAGCGCTCGGCTCACAGAGGAGCGGGGCGGGGCCATGGCGGGGCGGGGCTGGTTTGGACCGGGAGTGGCCTGGCCGGGCCGGGCGGGGTCAGGATGGGCGGGGCCATGGCTCGGGCGGGGGCGGGGCCTAGCGGAGAGGGGCGGGGCCATTGCTGGGCGGGGGCGGGGCAATCGCCCGCCGGGGCTATTTTTGCGGCAGCCCGAGCCAATCTCCTAATCGCATTAGCAGCGTCCCGCACTGTGCAATCCCGGCCCGCTGCCCCCCCCCCCCCGGGCCGCCCCCCTGCCGCGGCCCCTGGGCATTGGCGGCCCCGAGGGGCTGGGCCAGGATCGGGCCCCGGGCACACAGCAGGAGCCCGCCCGGCGGGTGGGGAGCCGGGCTCTGGGCCGGTGTCCGCGCCCCGCACCTGGGCACCCTGCGGCCGAGCCCGGCTCCCCCCGTGCAGAGGCTCAGCGAGGGGCAGCTCCCGGGAGCCCTGGCCAGGCAGATCCGGGCTTAGCGCAGCCAGGCCCTGGGATGCGGGGGGCTTATGCTAATCAGCCTGGCAAAGGCCGTGATGGCATTAGAGCCGGGGCAGGGCAGTCGCTGCCCAGACACCCCAGCTGCAGCCTCTCCTGGTCGCTGGCTGGGAAGAGCCCCTGGGAGAGCTGGGCTGTGAGTCTGCCGGGGCTGGCCTGGGACTTGCGGGGGTGCCTGTGGGAGACCACCCCTCTCCCGGGGCCAGAGCCCAGGAGCCTCTGGAGATGTCGCAGGTGGGGAAGGAGGAAGCAGAGGAGAGCCGGCGTGCCAACCAGCCAGCATCAGCTGAGCCAGCAGCGAGCCACGCAGCCCAGGAGCTGGCGGGGAGCCCTTGTCTGGGGAGGGTGGTCAAGTTCCTCCTGCCCCATACTACAGTTGAGGCCCCCCTGCCCCAGGAGGAGGAGCAACAATTCTACCAGGGGCTGGAGCGCCTGCTGGGGCCAAAGCTAGGCCGCTTCGGGGAGCTGTTCGCGGCCGCTGGCTGGGCAGATGTCACAGGTGAGTCAGCAGGACTGGGGGAGGGAAGGTGGGAAGGGGTGACTGGAAAACAAGACCCCAGAGCCACTTTTACGGAAGCTCCCATCTGCCCCCCATCCTCTCTGCTGCACAACCCCTGAGTTACTCTTGAGAGCAAGGCCGAGAGCTGACGGGCTCCCGGAGCACCCACCCTGGCATTGTCACTACCACATTTCGCTTGGCTGCCCCCGGCTGGCACTGGGTTGCAGTGCGGCATGGGGCATGGCCCTGCTGGATGGTGGGTCTCTGGCTGGCCAGCTGTGCCTGGCACAGTGCCATGTGGCGAGCCAGCCTGGGGCAGCATGGACTGGATGAGCCTTCTGTGGGGTGCACAGACCCCAAGTGTTGAGCATGGGGCATTTCTGGCCCCTTCAGAGCTGCTGAGTGGCACGCTGGGCAGAGGGGGTGGGGCCCTGAACTCCAGCAGCTGAGCTTCAATGGCCCTGGCCGGTTTCTAGGCCACAGAATTGCTGCCAAGAGAAACGTGCCTGTAAAACAGTGCAGGCTGGTGGGCAGGGCAAGGGGCTGGGACTCGGGAGAACTGGGTTCTAGTCCTGGCTGAGCTGCTGGGTGACCTTGGGCAAGTTGCTTCCTCACAGCCTGGCTCTGCCTGGTGTAAACAGACTCTGGGGCAGGGCCCATCGCGCCTGTGCCCGGGCAGCGCCCGGCCCTGCGGGGCACCGATCTCGATGCTACCGTAATACACCTAATAAAGCAGAGCTGCCCTTAGGGAGGTGCAGTCACCTCCTTGAGGTTCCCCCTCGCTGACCAATGCTGCAGAGCCAAGAGCGGAAGCACTAAAACAAGGGGTCTAATATGAAGGAGGGATGGCTCAGTGGTTTGAGCATTGGCCTGCTAAACCCAGGGTTGTGAGTTCAATCCTTGAGGGGGCCACTTAAGGATCTGGGGCAAAATCAGTACTTGGCCCTGCTAGTGAAGGCAGGGGGCTGGATTTGATGACCTTTCAGGGTCCCTTCCAGTTCCATGAGATAGGTATATCTCCTCATATTCAAGGAGCCCCTTGAGGGGAGGGAGAGCGAGGAATGCCCCGGCTGGAGAGGGAAGAACGGGTCCCTCTCTGCCCAGGGGAGTCCCACAGGTCCTGTGGCAGGGGCTCCTGTTCCCCTGGACTGATTCCCCTCTCCCTGTTTGCTTCCCCAAGAGGACCGATTCCTGAGGAAGTTGTTGGTGAGAGAAGGCCAAGGAGAGGCCAGCAGACCCCAGCCAGGCCAGGAGGTGACTGTGAAGCTGCTGGGAGTCCTGGAGGATGGAAGCCTGGTGGAGAAGGACCCGAAGCTGACTTTCATCCTGGAGCAGGGGGACGTCATACAGGTCTGGTCTCCTCCTGCACCCTAAGGACAGAGTCACCATCGAGGCTGGATGGTTTGGTGCCCCTGGAGGTTGGCATTTGCCAGTTTTTAAATGACTGACTCCAGCCATAGGCATCAGTGGCCATGTTCTTCTGATCCCAGCTTGCTGTTGCAAAGAAATAGACCATGTAAAACGTACTCAACACACTTGTGCTCCCCCTGCCAGCTGTGCAAGGGAGTAACAAACCCCCTTCCTGGCTGTGCTGGCCCCTTACAGAGCTGGGGCATAAACAGGGAGGCAAATAAACTCCTGGTGGTAATTCCCAGCTCCTGGGTTCAGCCCCTGGGAAGGGCTGACTGGCTGGAAAGCTACCCAGGGGGCCAGTCCAGCCAATGAGAATCACAGATCCACAGGGTACCAAGGGACCATCTGCAAGAGTCCATATTGGTTAACCCCCTGCCAAGTGCAGGATTTGTTGTCTAAAAATCCTTCCTGGGCCCTTCCAGTCCCTGAGCTCAGCGCACCCACAGGCGTGTAACCCAGGCATTTATGGTGCATGCCTAAGTGACAACTGAAGTAGCAGCCAACTGCAGGCTCTAGAATCCTATTCAAACGCGCACACAGCTGCGATGGTAGTAACTGAACCTGGGAAGGAGGGAGCGAGAGGGCTGTGGGGTTGCACAGGATCCAGCCTCACACAATGGCTTGCAGGCCCCACCAAGGCCCTGTTCTTGTGATCACTTGCTAAAAGTGACCGAAGGGATGAAAATGGAGCCAGACCCTGCCCCACCTAGATGCAAGATGTACTGGGCTGCCCAGAGGGGATGTGCACTTTGGGGTGGCTCTTGCTTCCTACCAGCAGCCCCATGGTAAATGGGAGAGAGCCACAAGGCAAAGTCAGAGCTGAGGAGGAGACAGACAAAAGCCCAACAGCTGCTCCTCGGGGTGCCCCTGCCCTGTGGGCTCCCCAGATTGGGAGTCCCCCTCAGGGACAGGGACTGACTGCCTTTTGGGGTTTGCTGCAGAGCCAAGCATGTTACTGGTGTATAACACATGCCATAACAAGGGGAGGGCTGACCCATCTGCCCCCCAGGCCGGGTTAATGCCATGGGTCCCCAGTCACAGTTTGGGGTGCAATTCAGACTAGTCCGAGGTTCTCTCCTCACTTGTCCTGTAACCCTGAGGGCCTTAAAACACTCTACTGCTGTAGCTGCCTGTCTGGACTCTCCCAGCCAGCAGACAAGCCCGCACAGCCCGGGCTCAGCAACTCTGACTCCAGCAGCTGGTTTGTTACACCCCAGCCACACTCAGGTCTCCACCAGCCTCGGTGACTGTTCACCAAGTGACCCCACCACACCCCAGTCCCGAATTTCCCCCAAACCATCTGCCCTGAAGCGTCCAGCCCTCTCCTGGAACGTTCAGAGGAGTAGTAAGCTCCATTGTCCTTTCAAGAAACAAAAACACAACTCCAGTTAAGGCAACAAGCTGCTAACGATTACTTCAAACCCAGCTCAGGGCTGGTTTAGATTAAAAGTAAAGTACGTTTATTAACAAAAGAGAGAGGTTTTATGTGAGTTCAAGTACAAGGGATAAAGCCAAAGGGATTACAAGCAGATTCAAGAAAAATACATTTTCTGGTGGCCTAGACTTAACTCAACCAGCTCCAGCCTTGGGTCAAGGTAGATTTCTTACTAATCTTTTTTTTTTCCAGCCATGGCCAACTGTCCCTCAGTCACCGTCCACAGAAGTACAAGGGGCTGGTTTCCCTTGGCTTCCTAGGTGAAAGACCCTTGCCGAGGCAGCTTTTTCACCTATATTCAGTTCCTCGAGACTCCAGTCCCCTTGGCTGAAGGACCCGTCTTTCTCAGCTTGCAGAGTGCTAGCCCCTTGTGTCTAGCCAGTGAGGGATGCCAAGATGGCTTCTTTTCTCTCCCCAAACTCACTGTTTTGTCCCCAGACTCAGATGACCCCAGGCTGGTCTTCCCTGCTGTGTACTTCCTATCCCATTGAGCTGTATGTAACTGGGGCTTCCATTGGTTTTGGTCACACCTTGTTTGACGTCATTGGGAGACAGCCTGTTTTCCCTTTGTTTGGTCACAGACTATAAAGCAGAATATCTGTGAGCATCCACAGTTCCTCATACAGTGTTAATAGAGATACCTTACAAAGATGGTAATCACCAGGGTGTCATCAGCTTTCATACTCGATACACGTGTATAGCACTAATATTGTACACAATCCACTGATTCAACTACTTACGGCCTGGCTGTAGAGTCCCGTAAACCACTGACGTGCATTCTCAGATAAGATGTCATGCTGTTTCCTTCCCTGCCCGCTGGTGATAGTTGCCTTCTTACCTCCTCCCCTTGGTAGCCAGATGGCTCTATTGACCTTAGATTATAAATGCACCTTCATTCTCCCTGCTGACGCCAAGGCTGGTCAGCCAAGCAAATACATTGCAGTGTCTAGGGCAGACTGGGCCTGTGCGTGGCTGAGAACACAAGTCTAGCACATACGTAACTGTTCGTACACCCCCAAGACAGACATCACACAAGGATATTAATGAGCAGTGAGCTATTCATTTCCCAGTGATAGCTCACATGCCACCTTTGGGGATATACAAGACAAGCAAGTGAGGTGTAGGGACAAGTGTTGCTGCCAGACCCCCCAGGGGCCACTGGC